TTTTTTTTACATGAACCCTGCAAGGCTGAAAGATAAACTGATGTAAAAAGACATTAAGTTCTTCAAGAAATTTTCACTCACTCTTCAGTAGTGCGAGTGGGACTCTGGCGGAAAGAGTGGGAAAGGACTCTATTCTTGGAGGTCTTAACTCACAAACTTCCCGGCCGTCCTCTAATGAGGGCCCGCGCAACTGTGGGAAGTGACAGTGGTGCTACCGCTCGCCAAGGGTGTGTAACGTCACATTCTTTTCCTAATGGCGGTGGCAGGAAGCCGCTCTATCCTTGCCTGGGCACTAGATGCACAAAGGTCGGTACACTAGCAAGGGAGACTCCAGAGTTAGCAGAAACAGCCCAACTTGGGATGGTTCGTCTTAATTCTCTGGATTTGACAGGATTCACAGAAGACCCCCAAGTGATCTTACTGCTGCTTCATCTGTAAAAGATCATAAACCGGTTTTAAGCTCAGTGTACTTGGGTTTGTCAGCCAAACAACTGTACCTGGCACGGGCCTTTGTATAAGAGGCTTTGCCCCCTCTGGTACAAGGCGCAGAGACTGCTGTGCTCCATGTGGTGTGTGTCACAAACAGGATCGCGAACCTGGTCACAGGTAAGCTGTCTCGGCAAACACTCGTGTTGGCTACATCCAAATTTATCAAACGTTGTCAGGCAGACCTGTGGTTTGGGTATGCATCTGAAAAACACAAGTGCGGCACCGTGGGCCAAGGCTGGTAGGGGAGATGGTGAGGCCAGTACGGCATTGACAAGGCACAAGAGGGTGGGGAGAAAGCAAGAGAGGAATCAGAAACAGCCCCTGCCCCCAAGAGCGTATGTAGAGCGGGAGGGTCAAGCAGGCATATGAAGTAAGCTAGTAAATGACACACAAAATGGTCGTGGGAATGAGTCATTCTGATTCAGGAGCCAAGAGAAAGCATGGGGAGGAGGAGGTGTCCTGGCCGCCACATGGAGGATAAGGAGGGTCACACAGGCGTGCCAGGCCAAGGAGGCCATACAAGCAAAGGTGTGGTGCTAGAGACTACAGTGCTGGGGGACAGGGGAGCTGACTCTGAGGGCAAGAGTCAAGGTCGCAGGGGTTGAAGTGTCACGATAGGAGGCCATCAGGTGGGTTGGCATCCGATGCTAGAGGCCTTTTAGTCAATAATAAATGAAGCATTTTCTGGGGTTTAATCTTCAGCTCGCTAATACACAGGAGTCTGTCTTAAGAGAAGGCTTCACAGTGTGTATTGAAAAAATCAGGCTTCTGTGCTTACAGGCTGAGGACCTGCCGCTCGCTGGTTGCAGATCACAGACAGATTGCTACCCCACGAAGCTGGGTTTTCCTGGTAACATCAGGACCCTGCTTCATTCTCAATTCCTGAACTTCTTCAGAGGGGTTGGGGATGGTGGCTCTTCTTTAGACTTTTCTGCTATTTCGTTTCTACACAGGTCATTTATAACTTTCTATAAGAAGGCCTATTAAAATGTTCACCTTTCACTGGGCATTTGAAATAACAGGATATACAAATGTTAGTCTGCAAAATAAAAGGAGAAGAGTATAGCAGCTAGCATCATTTTATTTCCAAGGAAATTGCCTCTGCTCTTTTCGACGAGAAGCCTACTGCTCTGAAATGACCACCACCATCATCACTACTAACGCCTGTGGTCACCTTTTCCGATGGGATTTAAAGTTGGAACGCACAGCGTGATATGGCTCTTTGGAAATTTAAGACATTTGAAAAGAAATAATGGAAAAGCATATTTAGAACTTCATTATCTATTAACACGGAAGGGATGAGAACCAAGACTATCAGGAGACATTTGGTAGTTTTGGAAGGAAGGATTTTGAGTACTGAAAAATAGGATCAGCGGAAAAGCTGAAAATTCAGGGGCTAAATTACACATGACCAGGGCAGGTACTTTGTCTTGCTTAGTGTTGTGCCCTAGTGTTTAGAAAGATGCCTGGTACATCAGTAGACATTTGATGAATGAATACAACTTTGTATTCTTTAACAATTATTTTTTGAATAGATAATTCGAGCCCATGGTGAAACTGAAAAGATACAAAATTGTACACAGTGAAAAAATTAGTCTGCCTCCTACTCTTATATCCCAGCCACCTGAACCCTTCCCCAGAGACAAATGATATTATCAATTTCTTGCTTATTAATTGCAGAGATCCTTTAGGTAAGTAGAAGCATTTATATATGCTGATTCAAGAGTATTTGCATTTAAAATTTTGATAGGCTTGGTCAAATTGCCCTCCACAGAGGATGTACCAACCCTCCCTTCAACCCCCTTCTTGTATGGGAGTGCCTGTTTCCTTATATTATGTTATCAAACTTTTTATCTTTGCCAATCTGATAGATGGAAAATGGTGCATAATTGTACCTTTAATTTACATTTCCCTTAATATGAGAAAGGTTAAGCATCATGGTAGATTGATTGGATGCTCATCAAATTCATTTAATTTTCTTCTTGGGCACACATCTAGATCATATTTCCCAGTCTCCCTGGCAGTAATTGTGGCCAAGTGATTGAGTTCTAGACAGTGGAA